GGAGTTTTTCTGGGTTATTCCTTAAATTCTAAAGCTTATCGAGTATTTAATAAAAGAACTTTAGTTGTTGAAGATTCTATACATGTTATTTTCGAAGATAATCTCCTTCCGAGGAAGGATTCTTGTTTGAATGATGATGTAGGTATTATAAATACAAATGACGTTAGATATGACGTTGGAGAACCATCATCAAAGAAAGAAACGAAAGATGAGGAAACTCATGATCCTCTCGAGAATCCAACCATTGAAGAAAGGGAAGTATCTTACTCAAGAGAGTACAACTATGTCAAGGATGGTGAAATTATAGGTGATCCATCCAAAGGGGTAACAACTCGATCTTCTCTTAGAAATATTTGTAATTATGTTGCATTTATCTCATGCATAGAGCCTAAGAATATTAAAGAAGCATTAAATGATGAACATTGGATTATGGCTATGCAAGAAGAGTTTAATCAATTTGAGAGAAGTAAAGTATGGACATTAGTTGAAAGGCCTAGTAATAAATCTACTGTAGGTACTAGATGGGTATTTAGGAATAAGCTTGATGAGAATGGTAATATAGTGAGAAACAAGGCTAGACTTGTTGCTAAAGGGTATACTCAAGAAGAGGGCATAGACTATGATGAAACATACGCTCCCGTAGCTAGGATGGAAGCAATTAGAATGTTATTAGCATTTGCATGTTTTCATGAATTTAAATTATATTAAATGGATGTTAAAAGTGCATTTTTAAATGGTTTTATTAAAGAAGAAGTGTATGTGGAACAACCTCCAGGTTTTGAAGATTCAAAATTTTCGGATCACGTTCTTAAATTGACAAAAGCACTTTATGGTTTAAAACAAGCTCATAGAGCTTGGTACGAAAGATTGTCAAACTTTTTAATTGAAAAAGGTTTTTCAAAAGGGAAGGTTGACACTACATTTTTTTAAAGCATAAAGGTAAAGATTTATTAGTAGTTCAAATTTATGTTGATGATATAATATTTGGTTCTACTAATGATGTTCTTTGCCAAGAATTTTCTAAGCTAATACAAAGTAATTTCGAGATGAGCATGATGGGGATCTCTCATTTTTCTTGGGACTCCAAATCAAGCAAAGAAAAGATGGCATCTTCATCAATCAAGCTAAATATGTCAAAGATATGCTCAAAAAGTTTAGACTGGAAAATGGGAAACCTCATGACACTCCAATGAGCTCTTCTACAAAGCTTGACTTGGATGAATGAGGTAAATCTATGGATGTTAAATTATATAGGTCAATGATTGGCTTTTTGCTCTATCTAACTGCAAGTAGATCAGACATTATGTTTAGTGTTTGCTTATGTGCTAAATTTCAATCATGCCCTAAGGAATCACATTTACTAGCTGTTAAGAGAATCTTTAGATACCTTAAGGACACTCCTAGTTTAGGACTTTGGTATCCTAGAGACTCTAGCTTTAGCTTGCATGCCTTTTCTGATGCGGATTATGGAGGATGCAAATTAGATAGGAAAAGCACCTCTGGTACTTGCCAATTCTTTGGAAATATGCTTATTTCTTGGTTTTCAAAGAAACAAAATTGTGTTGCATTATCTACCACTGAAGCCGAATACATTTCAGCTGGTAGTTGTTGTGCACAAGTTTTATGGATGAAACAACAACTTTTTGATTATGGAATTGAAGTAGGTACCATTCCTATCAAGTGTGACAATACTAGTGCTATTTGTCTCACTAAAAATCCCATCCAACACTCTAGAACTAAGCACATTAAAATAAGACATCACTTCATTAGAGACCATGTCACTAAAGAAGATGTAGTTCTAGAATTTGTTGATACTTTGCATCAATTAGCGGATATTTTTTCAAAGCCTTTAGACAAGGAAAGATTTTGGACACTTAGGAGAGAATTAGGTTTAAATAACCTATCTTCACTTAGTGCTTAAAATAATGCCTTTAGACAAGGAAAGATTTTGGACACTTAGGAGAGAATTAGGTTTAAATAACCTATCTTCACTTAGTGCTTAAAATAATTTAGCACTTTTAAGAATAAATGAAAAATGCTTATAATAGTAATTTTTGATTGCATTCATTGCTTTTAGTTAGGGGGAGTTTATGATTCTTGGTGAAAATTAACTTTATGTTCAAATATAATTTAAAGATTAATTTGATGGATTGAACATGATTAATTTTCAATATATGAGTTGCCAATACCACTAGAGAAAATTAATTTAGCATTTTGAGTGTTTAAAATCAATTTTATCAGTTTTGGTGCAGAGGGAATCGATACCCCCTGAAGGGGAACCGATTCCCCCTTTGAAGGGGAACCAATTCCCCCTGTAGGAGAATCGATACCCCCCTGGGGTTCTGTTTTTAACATGAGCAGAATACCCATTAAACTAAAACCCTCTCTTCTTCTCTCTTCACGCCGTTCTCCTCTACTCTCTCCCTATCTCCATATTTCATCAAAACAATATTTTTAATCGGAATTCTCTTCAAATATCATCTCCTAAACCTGTTGGAATCATCAAAATCGTGCAAACTTCATATAATCTCACTCAAATCTGAAATTCTTCAAGGTACTTTTCTAGAACTTCTATTTCATCAATTTTTGATTTTAGAACTATTTTTAATTAGTTCTAGGTTGAACTTTAGATCGGGCATTGATTATTTAGTGATTAGAAACTAGAGTTTACAACTAATTTCATAAAAAACAAAAGAATTTTCCAAAATTCTTTGAAATTTTCGAAAAAAAATTATATTTTCAAATTGTTGTGTTTTGATTTAATTATGTTGTTATTATGAAAACTATATGTATATTGATTCTCAAAACCTTATTTTTCAATAGTTTTCAAAAACTTTGCCCATTAGGATTGGTATAGAGAACCTTGAAATATTGAGGACTCAATTGAGTTTTGGGATTGATTATTTTGCATACATGTGTTTTAAAATTGCAGGTTATTCTTTCCATTCCGATTATCTTAAATTCTGTCTCATAAACGTTCTAGAGCTTCCTCTAGTCGTTCTAGCTAACCTCCAAACTCACCTCCAAATCCTCCACCCGTCCAACAAATTCCTAATCTTAATCCCGATGATCCAAACATGACCATTCACAATTCTTGTTTTAATGAACCCTGTCGAAAACAAAATCTCTACTTTAGGTTTTGTCAATACTTTGAGTCCTACAAAATCCAAGAAGAACGTATTCTCTTCAAGCCATGTTAGACATAAATTTTCGTCATCTTCCTACTCTTCAAGAGTGGAAATTTGACAAACTCTTCGAGCTTGAACCAATTGTCTACCATTAACTTGTTCGTATCTTATACTCTAATGTCGTTTGCATTAAAAACCGAGATAAAACCTTAACCATAGGGATATGATCCTATCTTCTAGGATGATTCCTTCATCTTGACTCGGAATACATTGCCACCATATTAGGATTAGATAATGACGGGTTAGATAATGAAAAACTAACGGTAGGATCTCAATATAAACGAAGGGATAGTGCGAGTGTTTTAGATCTTCACGACCATTTTCTTCACCTTATGATCTCTTGGTGGTTTCGACAATCTGGAGGCCGTTACTCTACTCTTCGAGCCTTAGATTTATTTTGGCTACATTGTGTCCAAAATAATCTCAAAATCAGCCTTCCACGGATTATCTTTTCTGAACTTGTCGAAACCGTAAATCTTGTTTCCAATAAAAAATTATGTTCTTCTTTAGTTTACAGTTGTATTCTTAGTAATCTGTTTAAGAAGGCTGGGCTTAGAGTTGGTCTTGATGCTTCCTTTCCCCTCAAAAACCATATCAATCTATTCTCTTTAACTAAATCAGGATGGAAGATCAATGAAGAAACTGGTCTTTGGGTTCGTACCGGTGAACATCCTCCGGAAGAAGTCGACTCCAACGATGAGTCGGAGCAGCACGAGGAACAAGTACATCAAGAAGATCAAGTGCCTCCATACTTCCGATCATTCATGGAGAACATTGATTTGAGGATTGCATCTATCGATTCAAATCTGACCGCTACCATTGAAATGATGAATCGTTGTTTCGATTCATTGGATGAAAGGGCCGATGCACTTTCACGTGATGTGACCAATATTTGGTCACATCTATCTCCTCCTGATGCACCGATAGACGATTAGGCCTTGTTTCTTGCTTAGCTTTCTTGGATCAAAACTTAAAACTTATTGTTTGAAACATTTTGAATACTTTTGGATTGTTTTTACTTTAATTGTTGGATGTTTGAATTTGGTTTATGGATTATGGATGTTTGAACTTATATTTCTATATATTTAGTTTGGTTAAATTTATTCATTATTGCATCATTTACATCAATTAGATATATGACCAATTTTGCCATGTCATATTGTTTATGAATATTGATTATGAAACTAATGGCTAACGTTTCTCTTGATTGTGATCTTAGCAGCTTAAGCTACATATATTTAAAATCAATTGGCTAAATGATTTCAAAACCTTGTTTAAGATTTTTTTTAAAAAAAGTCTTTTTGATTTAACAAAAAGGGGGAGAAATGTTAAAGTGTTTTAAAGGGGAGAAGTGTTAGAGTAAGGGGGGTAATTTCAAAACTTGATTTCAAAATCTTAAAATTACTAAAATGTTTTGTTATATCAAAAAGGGGGAGATTGTTGAAAACATTTTGATATTTCGATATAACAAATTAAGATAAATGAATTTTAAGATTTTCTAAGTATGTTCGATATAATTATTTGAATATCAAAATATTACTCCAAATCTTTCAAATGTCATTTTTAATCCTTACTCAAGTGTAAAATTAAGTTTTAAACTTAAAATAATTTCAAAACAATTTTACAAAATATTTCGAACCATTTCAAAGCCAGAAATTCCAGATTGCTCAGAGGGAACCGATTCCCCCCTGAATGGTTTGGCTCCGAGAAAAACATAATGCTCGGAGGGAACCGATTCCCCCCTGTTTAACGGTCGAAATATTTGAATTTTACACTTAGGGAACCGATTCCCCATGAGGGGTACCGATTCACCCCCCACGCTCCAAGTTGTTTTATTAATTGATTTCACACTAAAACGGCTCTATTGACTCCACTAATCATCCCCAACGTTCAAAATCATTTGAAGGTGTATTTAAACAAACTTAGAAGCAATTGACCAAAAACAAGAAACAACAAGCAACTAGAATCAAGAGAGAATCAAAGAGAAAGCATCAAACCTCAATTTTGAGCATTTCAAGCCTATTTTTCATTCAATATTCATTTTGCTTTCAAGAAGACTACTTGTACTCAATTGTATTCATTTTTAGTGTTCTTTTCTTTGTTATAGAATTGTGCAAACAATCTACCTTGTAAGGATTTCCTTGTAAGTTTGCAAATTTGTAATCTTCTCTTTGAGAAAGAGTGTTCTCAAGAATTGGGGTATATTCTTGAGGGAGTTGTAAGGTTATCTCTTTGGCCTCAAAAGAAAGAACAAATTAGTGAATTTGTTGGAAAATCCTTAGTGTGGATAGCTAAGGTAGTGGACGTAGACTTTGGTTGAGAAAGTCGAACCACTCTAAATCGCTGTGCAATTTCTTTCAATTTTCTGCAATAGCTTCCACCAAAATTTTAATTGCCAATTCACCCCCCTCTTGGCCAATTCCATGGATCGATTAACTCAATAATTTGTTTCCTACACATGCTCCACATGGGTATTAAAATACCCAATTATTATTATTTAATTATTTTCCTTGTTCAATGACTCCTTTACCCATTTCTTCTTCTGTCATTTTCTAATTCATCCTACACCAAATATTTCAATTAAATCCTTGAATTTATGAATTTATCTAATTTTTTCACTGAAATTTAAAATCTCACTATTTGGTCACTAACCCGATATTGAGGATGTTACATCAAATCTCGAATTTGACATGTCTTTGGTACGTTTAATCATTTCATTGTTACTCCCAACAATGAGTATGTCATCAACATACAAGCATATAATAACTTATCCTATGTTTGTAGTTTTGGCATATACACATTTGTCATACTCATTTATCATGAAGTTGTTTGTCATCAAAACACTATTGAACTTCTCATACCAATGTTTTGGTGCTTGTTTAAGTCCATACAAAGATGTCACCAACCTACAGACTTTCCTTTCTTGGCCTAGAACTACATGACTCTCAGGTTGTTCCATGTAAATTTCTTTATCAAGGTCCCCATTTAGGAAAGTTGTTTTAACATCAATTTGATGTACTTCTAGATTTCACAAAACGGCAATTGCGAGTATCATTCTTATGGATGTTATCCTTGATACAAGAGAATATGTATCAAAGTAGTCAATGTCTTCATTTTTAACAGTATCCTTTGTTTCCCAATCAACCTTGTGCTTGTCAATTGTTCCATCTGCTTTCATTTTTCATTTGAAAATCCATTTAGAATTTAATGGTTTAATCCCCAGAGGGAGATCCACTAATTCCCACAAATGGTTCTAAATGATAGAATATATTTCGGTCTTAATGGCTTCCTTCCATAAGGTGCCTTTAGAGGATCGTATGGCTTCACTATACGTTTGAGGTTCAACCTCCATCATAAACATTAAGAAGTCTAGCCCAAAGGATTTTCCAACCTTTGGCCGTTTACTCTTTCTTATCTCTATCTCAGTTTCAGCCTATTGTTGATCATCTGGATTATCTTCATTATTAGTCTATGAGGTTCATTTTATGAACTTTGATCAACCTCAATAGATTTATAAGGAAAAATATTTTCAAAGAATGATGCATTCTTTGATTCCATTATCGTATTCTTGTGAATCTCAAGATTATTTGATTCATACAAAAGAAATTGATATGCATTGCTATGTTCTGCATAGCCTATGATAATACAATCCACGGTTTTAGGACCTATTTTCATTTGCTTCGGTAATAGGGTCATTACCTTGGCAAGACACCCCCACATTTTCAAATGTTTGTAGGAAGGTTTTCGACCTTTCTATAATTCATATGGTGTCTTGTCTTTTTACTTTCGGGGTACCTTATATAAAAAGTAATTAGCTGAAAGGGCAACTTCCCCCCCCCCCACATGTTCTGTGATAACCCAGAACCGCCTAACAAGTCATTAATCATTTCTTTCAGAGTTTGATTTTTTCACTCGACTACTCCAATTGATCGAAGAGAGTATGGTGGTGTTACTTTGTGAATAATACCATTTCGTGAACAAAATTCACCAAATGGTTCAATATATTCACTATCACAATCACTTATTACCATCTTAATCTATTTATTAAGTTAGTTTTCAATTTCATGTTAATAGAAAACAAATTTCTCTATAACATCACTTTCGTTCTTTTAGCAAATACACACATCAATACTTTTTTTTATCTTAACTGTAGATAATAAAATACTTATTCTCCCTCGTTTGTGCCATTATTACGAATTTTAAGAACTTGATCACTAATAATTCATTAGGACCAGCATCTTCCGTTTTGTAGTTACGGTTCAATATCATACATGATTCTTTAGCCATTTTAAACATTGTACACTTCATAAAATGCATCATATAAGACTTTGAGAATGTGTTTACATCTTAGAAAACCATATTTTCCAAGCTTTGATTCGAGACTTTCAAGAAATAAATTCAACAATTTATTTCTTTTTACAAGAAGGGAATCATACTTGATTTTCAAGAGATAAATTCAATGATTTAATTTCTTTTACAAAATAGAATCATACAAGATTCTATGAATATAAATTTAACAATTTATTTTCTTCTACAAGATGAATTCGATCAAGATTTCCAAGAAAATAAATTTCACGTTTTATTTCCTTTTCAAAGTTAGAATCAACGCAAGATTCTAAGGTGAAATAAATTCAACAATTTATTTCTCTTTTTCCAATGCTATATCTTCTAAAACAGATATATCAAGGCAACCGTATTCTGATTAATAACCAGAAATAAAAAAAATAATCCTTTAACTTTGATAATCCAGTATTCAATAGCATTTGATTAAACTCTGAATCTATTTGTATCTATAAAATTTCTCAAAAGAAATTAATAGTCTTGTGTTTCCAAACACAAGCCACAATTATTATAATAGCTTATAATAATTATAAATATCAAACGATATTCTTTATTCATTTCATATTTAATATACTATATTAAAAATGTCATGATTAAAGCTTACACATTTTAATATGGTAACACTATTTATCTCATCCTCTCTAATGATAAAAGAATCATCTGTTATTTGATCAAATTCAACATGACCAAATAAAACAACATCAGATGTTTTTTATATCTTGAAATTATATGCATAGAATTTATAAGTTTCTCGTTGTGGCTTACAACCATCAACACCGTTGAATTTAATTCAAGGTTCGAATAGGAACCAACGTTCCAAATCACAAATTAAATAAATCACTGAGATTACGCATTATTTCGTCTAATGCAAAATTAATAATTCCAACAATAAGCCAAAATTAAATTTTGATTTATTCAATCAATAGAATTTAGTCATGAACTAAAATTATGAAACAAATTAGTAACAGAGTTGTTACTTTCCAACGATTTCTATTGTTAGAATCTAATAATTCTGTTACGCGACAGCATTAAAATCCCAATTGATTTCAAATATGAAATCAAAAATTCCAATAAATAGAAAATCAATTCTCATTTATTTTCGATTTTGTTATCAGATAAAATCAAAATTCTGAAACAAAACCAATAATTGCAGTTATTTTCACGAAAATTTATGTTAAACATATTTGTCCACTTGAGATTCTAGTAAACCCGTTAAGACAGCATAATAAATCCTGAAACAATTTTGTTTACTATCTCATTTTTTTCCACAATTCTGAATTATCTCGGATCAAGAAAGGTAGAAGATGAGGTATCTTTCTTAAGATTGTTATACTTTAATAACAATCCGAAACAAAAATAGAACTTGAGAAAAAGTAAAAGAAAGAAATCAAATTCTTTTTAAACAAAGAGATTTAAAAAAAAGAAATAAAAATAGTCTTTTATATTTGATCTTGTGATCGAAATCAATTGAGATATGTCGCTACACAGTTTCCTTAAGACAGATTTTTGGCTACTCATTGATGCTCGAGATATTTTAGTCGTCTGTCTCCCAGGATACAAAAACTTGATGATCAATTATAGTAGCACAACAGTAGAAATCACGACTTTTCTTTACCTTCGACTATCACTAGAAAAACTAAGGGAGAAAATAAATATTTTATAAGAAGGAGAGAAAATATTTTCAAGAGAAGAAAACTAATTGAATTCTGAGATATTAAAAACTGAGAGGATTGCTCAGTATTTATAGGGAAATTTCGAGAAAGTTTTGCTCCAACTAAAACTCTTTTAATATCTAAATTTAAACAAATAATAATATCTTTTAAATTTAAAAATATTAAATCTGAGAATTTTACTCCAACCAAAACTCTTTTAATAACTAAATTTAAACATATAATAATATCTTTTAAATTTAAATATTAAACATATATTTCCTCCTTTGATTATTCAAATTAAATAATATTATTTTAATTTACAATATTTAAAAGGATTTTGAATGTAAAATAAGTATTAAATCCATCGTAATTCACATTTTGTTTTTCAACAGTAACTAACATTGAAATGGTTTCCTACAGGTTAGGGTGGTTGTAGTTCTAACAAATGTTCCCTTCATCCTCAATCTTGATTGTGACCTCTCTGTTAACAATAGTAAGGCTGTTTGGGAGGCAATGTGCTTCTTGATGGATCCTCAAGTTGGACAAGATGTATGCTATGTGCAGTTTCCTCAAAGATTTGATGGCATAGATAGGAGTGATCGATATGCCAATCGCAATACAGTTTTCTTCGATGTAAGATTCAAGCTAAATTGATTTTCTTCTTGATTTACGTCCTTTATTTCAACAGTTTTATGTTGCGATCACATTATTACATACACATGATTTTCAGTATTGAAAATTGTTCTGAATTTCAACTTCAGGTTAACATGAAAGGTCTAGAAGGAACCCAAGGGCCAGTTTATGTGGGAACATGTCGTGTTTTCAATAGGCAAGCACTTTATGGATATGGACCACCTTCAATGCCCAGTTTTTCCAAGTCCACTTTCTCATCATGCTCATGGTGTGGTTGCTGCTCATGTTGCTGCCCGGCCAAGAAGGCTCCTAAAGATCCATCAGAGCTTTATCGAGATGCAAAACGGGAAGAACTTGATGCTGCCATCTTCGACCTTAGGGAGATTGAAAGTAAGTCAAAACACTTGAGGCAAATTAAGCTAGACCGGTTCTTTGTGAAGCACTTGAACTGATGACATATATCTGCTCTTGTTTCCGCAGATTATGATGAACATGAAAGACCAATGCTGATCTCCCAGATGAGCTTTGAGAAAACTTTCGGCTTATCTTCTGTCTTCATTGAATCTACAGTAATGGAGAATGGAGGAGCGGCTGAATCTGCCAACCCTTCCACCGTAATTAAAGAAGCAATTCATGTCATCAGCTATGGCTATAAGGAGAAGACTGAATGGGGCAAAGAGGTTGGTATGAGATTGAAAATGCTACCAACACTCTTGATTTCTTGCACGTCAAACGTGTCCAATCCAAACCTGTTTCATCCTTGTATTGACAGATTTAAGATTTGCTAATTTTGTTCTCAGATCGGATGGATATATGGTTCAGTTATTGAGGATATCTTAACTGGTTTCAAAATGCACTGTCGAGGATGGAGATCTATTTACTGCATGCCCTTGAGGCTTGCATTCAAAGGATCTGCACCCATGAATTAATCTATCTGATCGGTTGCACCAAGTTCTTCGACGGGCTCTTGGATCTGTGGAAATTTTCCTTAGCAGGCATGGCCCCCTATGGTATGGCTTTGGAGGCGGTAGACTGAAATGGCTTTAAAAGACTGGCATATATCAACTATTGTTTATCCATTTACATCTCTTCCTCACGTTGCTTACTGTTCATTGCCAGCAATCTTCCTTCTCACTGGGAAATTTGTTTTTTAACTTAAATGCGGGTAATTCCAGTATCCCAAGCTTACATTGCATCACATTGATGATCACTAGCTCTCAAACCTGGCAAGCGTTCTGTTTCTGGATCTTTTCCTTTCCATTATCGTGACAGCCGTGCTGGAGCTCCGATGGAGCGTTGTGAGCATAGAGGACTTGTGGCGTAATGAGCAGTTTTGGGTGATCGGAGGCGTTTCAGCTCAAGGATTTCATAAGATGCTGACGGGGATTGACGCCAATTTCACAGTCACAGCCTAAGCAGCTGAAGACGCAAAGTTTGGAGAGCTGTACATAGTGAAATAAACAACACTTTTGATTCCACCAACAACACTTCTCGTCGTCAACATGGTTGGTGTGGTTGTTGGATTCCCCGATGCACTCAACAAAGGGTACGACGCTTGGGGTCCATTTTTTTTGGCAAAGTCTTCTTCTCCTTCTGGGTCATCCTCCATCTCTATCCTTCCCTCAAAGGTCTGACGTCAGAACAGAACCCCAACCATCGTTGTTCTATGGTCAGTGTTGTTGGCCTCTGTCTTCTCTCTTGTCTGGGTCCGAATGAACCCTTTTGTGAACACCGTCACCCAAGAACCTTCTCTCAGAACCTTATCTCCATTGATTGTTGAATGTGAATTATTTGAAGAAAAAATGTATTGGAACCTTTTTCTCTTTGATTCGTTGAACCATCACAATCTCATGACTCAAGCGTTCAATTTTATAGTTTTCATGGGAATTTATGGCTTTGGATGATGCGATTGTTTTTCAATCTCAAAAAAGAAAAAAAAATTGGACACTTGGAGGACTCGGTTCTTCTTCCTGACTAAATATAGTTATATGTGGAAATATTATATCAGGAGCTTTTTATATCATATCTATTCTGATTTCAATCAGTAGATTCACTTTTTTTTTCTTCTTTTAATCATTGAATATTCATATATATTTTAAAATATTTTTTTGAAGTAATAAATTGATCATATAGAAAACTAATGAAATGATGCGCTGAATATATATATATATATATGTATTACAATTTCTCATGTGAGAAACTGGGAATTCGGTCCTTCGGCGCTTTTGATTGTTCCATCATTCAAATCGTGGTCCTCGGTCTACTCTAAACCATGTTACATAAACAAATAAAAGAAAAAAATTACCAAGTAAAAGAAATCATCGGATCATAAGATGGTTGACTCTCTTGAAAATTACTGAGTTTTCTTTATATTATTCTCATAATCATACAACAACCAATCAATATAAAAATAATGTTTAATTTTTAAAATAAAAATTATATATATATGTATATATTAAAAAGTTATCCTCAAACGCCACACTAATATAATGATAGACCATAATAATACAATACAAGGTCGAGATTGAGACCAAACTGTCCAACCCCACCCAAATCCAACATCTCACTTCACTTCTAACCGCTCACTGTTCTCCTACTTTCTTTCTCTCTCTCTCTCTCCGCCATGAAACAACCTCCGCCACCATTGTTCTTCCTCCTCTCCACCACCGTCATCTCCACCGCCACCACTGCTAATGTTACTAAACCAACCACCTCTAAAACGCATGCGTTGTCCCCAACTCCTCCTCCTACTACCTCCCCAACCTCACTAACCACTAAAGCTTCGACTTCTTCCCAACTAGACCCTAAACAAATAGAAGCACTCCAATCCCTCAATATCCCCTCCACAAGAGACCCCTGCGTTCAACCTTCACCTCGCAACGCCACCGACTGCGACAACTCCAAGTCTGTCCGCCACCTCATTTCGCTCCACCTCTCCAACTGTTCATCAGACCTTTCACTCTCCTTCAATGATCTCAATTTCCTTTCTTCCCTCTATTCTCTTTCTTTCACTAACTACCACGCATCCCCTATCCACTTCCCTTCTGATCTCTCTCTTTCCCTTACTTCCTCCTCCTGCATTCAATCTCTCCGGTAACTCTCTGGCTTCTGGTTCTCTCGTTTCGTTAACCTCACTGATCTAACAGTTTCCGGCATTCCGGTGTTAAACAACCTAAAGGAAACTACAAAAAGAATATATTTAAAACGTGCATAAACGTTGCTTGTTTATTCAAGAACCACTATAACATATTTATACAACGTAGGCTAGTCAATGAAGCCTCTAACTGTATGAACGTCAGCATAACAGTTATACATACCAGTTGTAACAGACTGCATAACATATTATTATTCATGCTTCAACATTCTCCCCATCCCTCTCAGTTGTCTCTTTTTCAGCATCATCAACTTGAACTTTCTGTTGAAACAAAACATGAGCAGACTTCGGCAAGGGTTTAGTTAACCCGGCTACAACTTGGTGCTCTGTAGGAACATAATTCACCTGAACAGCTCAACGAGCCACTTTTTCACGCACAAAATGCATATCCAGCTCGATATGTTTAGAACAAGCATGAAATACAGGATTAACACTCATTGCAATGGCACTCATGTTGTCACCCTATACAACCGGAGTCGTAAACACTGACTCACCCATATCAGTCAATAAGGACTTAAGCTATACTACCTCGGATACCGTATCAGCAATGCTACGATACTCAGTCTCAGTTGTCGACTGAGCCACCGTCTTCTACCATCTAGCACTCCATGAAACCATATTACACCCAAGGAACACACACGACCCAGAAACAGACCGACGATCATCTAAATTACTTGCCCAATCAGCATCGGCAAACACAGTTACACAACAAGTTTCGGAGGAAGTCGATGACCGAAACACCAAACCATGATCAATTGTTCTATTCAAGTAACACAAAATTATCTTCACAGCAAACCAATGACCGTCACAAGGACGATGCATAACACTAAAGGCTATATCTGGTCATGTGTGACTCAAATATAACAACGCCCCAACAACACTACGATACATCAAAGCATCCGCAAGCAGCTTCCCAAAATCACAAGTCAACTTGGGTGAAACTACCATCGGGGTAGCGCAGATTTAGAGCTGAACATACCCGTTCGTTCCAACAATTCTCTAACAAATTTACGTTGGCACAAAACCAGTTGCTCAGGTGTTCGGTGCACCTCAATGCCAAGAAAATACCCAAGCTCGCCCAGATCCTTCAACGAAAACTTCTTACCGAGCAACCAAACAACATCATCGATAGCATCACGAGACTCACATGTGATAATAATATCGCCCGCATACACTAGAATAAACGTACGACCTTCATTATCTCGACAAATAAACAGAGACACATCAGCTGAAGTTCCATGAAACCCAAGCTTCAATAAAAAAATGACGCAACTTGGAATACCATATGCATGAAGCTTGACGCAACCCATACAACGCCTTCTTTAACCTACAAACCAATCGAAAGCCATCACTAGCCACACGTTTGAAACCCGGTAAGGACTAAACACCATATACACTTCTTCTCCGAGATCACCGTTAAGGAATGTGTTATTTACCGTGGTAGTCTTCACCACAGGACTAAACGTATCATTGAAATCATGACCGGGCACCTGAGAAAAACCTCTCGCCACAAGACGAGCCTTGTACCTCTAGACAGACCCATCAGCATGATACTTGACCTTGAATAACCATTTATACCCAATTGTCATTCGCCCAACTGGTAGTGGCTCAAGCACGCTCGTACTATTCTTCACAAGGGCATCATACTCAGCGAAAAATGTTTCCTTCCATCGAGGGTCTCGAAGAGCCTGAACAATTGTACAAGACTCACCATCACCCACTTATTTTTTTAGCAACAAACAACTTTGGTTTAAAAATTCCCCGTTTACTACGAGTGACCATCGGATGCCCATTTTGAGAAGGAGAAAGAGTTAGACCATCCTAAAAATTCCTAGAAGCACTATTAGGAATCGGTTCAGTAACTGACGACGCACCCTCCTGCTCTGCATGATCTTGTACAGCAGCTGAAAGACGATCACTACTCTCACTTGCATCAGGACCAGCACTGTCACCAGCCTGGTCTACAACAAGACCAGGAACCCCATCTTTAACATTCACAGACGTGTCTGCTTCACAAACTGGTGCACAACCAGATTCTTGGACCTCGGGTTGATTAAAATAAACACTCGTAGCCACATGCGAAGAACCATCATAAACAAGTCGAGCACCAGGAACCACAAAAAACAAAGCTCCACTATATGTATTGACCTCAAAAGAAACATTCGTCTGATCCATTCGAGCAACAAACGGAAACACCTGCTCATCAAAAACAACATGGCGAGACACATAAACTTTCTCATCGAGCGCTAAACACTGATAACCTCAATGATACATGCTATATCCCAAAAACACACATGGTTGCGACTTGTGCACAAGCTTTTGAGGTTGAAACGATCGTGAGTGTGGAAAACAACGACAACCAAACACTTTAAGATGATCATAACTCGGAGGCTACCCGAACAACCTTTCAAACGGAGTAACTTCTTGAAGCATCTTAGTAGGCAGTTTATTAATCAAATGAACTACTGTAACAAAAGCAAATGACCAGAACTTAAGAGGTAAAGACGCCCGAGCTAATAATGTTAACGCCATCTCAAAAAAATGACGGTGTTTCCTTTCAACGACCCCGTTTTACTGGGATGTGTGAGGACAGGTCACCCTATGTTGTATCCCACATTATGCAAGCACAACCAACAATGAGCGAAACTCACTTCCCCAATCACTTTGAACGGCTTTAATCTCCTGTCCAAATTACGTACGAGCTAGCTGCTGAAATAATTGAAAAGCACGAACAGTCTGCTCTTTATCTTTCAACAAATATACCCAGGAAAGCCTTGAAAACGCATCAACAAACGACATGTAATACCGAAACCCATTGGACAATATAACCCAATCCCCATAGATCAGTATACACTAACTGAAATGGCTACGTATATTGAGTCTCAGATGCAAAGAACGAAAGCTTGTGGCCATACGATATAGAACACAAACGGGAAGCAAAGCTTTATTTATATTCTTTGGCAAAACAATACTACATTGATTACAAACTTGTAACAAGACTTCACGTGAATGATGACTTAATCGATCATGCCAAAGTACATAGGTATCATTAGAACTATGAGCCATATTAGCTTCAGCAGCACGAACCCGATCAGAAAAACAACCACCAAACTCATAAAGACCATCAACCTCTCAACCTTCAAGCAAAACATAGCCAGAATCATTGTCCCGAACCACATAATGATCATCATGAAACTCCAAAACAAACTTTGTTATCCTTAGCAAGCTTTGAAACCGAAACCAACTTTTTAGTTATAGAAGGCACATACAACAAATTACTCATTTTCAATGGACGAGATGCAGTATATAAAGACGCTTGACAAACTTTAGCAATAGAAAGACCACTACCATTTTCTACAGTAAGCTTACCAGCCCCTGTACAATCTGAGCCATCAAGAACCTCCGTTGCATCGGATGAAATGTGATGAGTAGCCCCTGAGTCAACAAACCACGATGTAGAAGTAGAATTTGCAGCAACCATATTTGCATGAGGCCTGAGGTGTTCTTGTTCATCCACAACAGACCCACGCACGCTAGGCTTACTTCCACATGCACATAAGGTCGAACTGTAATGACAAACATTGGCTGTAGGTGACCGTTCCTTCACAGAGCTCCTTGCATCAGGATCATCAACACCTGAAAAAGATTTATCAAACTGATACCAAAAACGGTTGACAAGATGACCATTCTTTCCGCATAATTAACACTGAACTTTAACATGCCCTCGACCACAAACACTGTGATTATAAGCTGCAGACCGCTCCACTTTGGATTGATTCTGTCTAAAAGAACGATCACATTGACCATCAACAGAACCTTTAACACTACATTATCAGTAATCATCAGGTTATTAAAACGAGTAAAATTTTTCTGTTGAGTCTCAGCATCAATGAGAACAGAAACAACTCTTTCCAGTGTCA